CTCTGTACTGGAGATAGGCAAGGGTGGAAGGCCTAGGGCCTGGAAGTCTGACAGATGATAGGAAGGGTAGAGTGGATGGCTGAGAGCTTGGGACTGTCAGTATTAGAGCTCTGAGGATCCCATGGGGTTGAAGGACATAGCTTCTTAATGTTCCATATTGCTATTGGGTTTATTGTAGCCCTTATAAGATTGAGACTAAAAGGCTTTAAGAGGGAGAAGATGTTTGAGACTGCAGGGCTTCCATGTGGGATGAGGCTGTAATGTAAAATCTAAAGATGGAAACAGATGCACCTTAAACTCTGGCAGTGTCCAGATTAGAAGGGTTGAGTGGCAAAGTGCTAGAGTTTCACAAACAGGTATACATGTTCAAACAAGTTGTTCTGCTAGTTTAAATAAATGAGCATTTATTTCACTTGCAAATAGAAATTAACTGGTTATAGCAATAAATGGTGATTGTTTTACATACAAACAAAGCATTTTTGCAAGGTAATACATGTATTTTCAAATGAAACAAATTTCAGGTCAGTGCTAAAGGGTCCTTAGAATTCACTAAAAGGTGTTTAAATTAGTGAAAGTTATTGTTTTCGACATTAATTTAGGAAACGGGGCTGGTTAAAATTTAAACATGTTGGCCACTAAAAAATGTAGTTTTATGACTAAAAAATAAAACTGTTTCAATCAAATACATGTATTCTTTCATACACGGAGTAATAGAGTGTTTTTCAAAAATTACATTATACATTTTTGCAGTAATGACCTTTCAGCACCGAGCCAACAATTTGCAACTTGCAGTTTTGTGATAATGTGATAAGTGAAAGACTTTTCTCTAATGCTCTGGCAATGTGGATGTACAACTTGGAAAATGCAAAATGCACACAGAATTTTGTCCAAGGAAAAACTTATAAAGATGAACAAAGAAATTGGAGCAGGATTTGACCCTGCGACCTCTGGAACAGCATACCAGTGCTCTACCAAACTTGAGCTATCCAGCCCTATGTCGGTGGTTCTTCCCATTTGTCAATGTCTCTGTTCGGGGGGGGGCGAACTTGTTAAAAGTGAGGTTCAGGGCAGCCAGTGGGTTGACTGAACAGTGCTGGTATTTTGGCTGCCTGAATGGGAACACCATTCAATTTTTAAAAGCATGCAATAGATACAAGCTTTTAGTCCTCAAAAGAAGTAGTATCAAAGTGTCTAGAGTCTTTCCAAGTGGTAACTATTTACAAATTATAGCATCTTGGTAACTGAAATGTGAACATGAATGTTTTTAAATGTGCATTAATATGAGTCAATGCATTACGATGGAAAGAAACAAATTAAAGGTGAACAGAAGTCTTTCTTCAAAAGTAAACTGACCAACTGTCTATTCCATTTACAGAGTATATGTACCTCTTAAATCATGAATAATTAATGTACATGTAAGTACAGTACAACGTCACTATACTGAACAATTCAGTTTACGGGACATGCTTCTTGGCTCCTAAATTTTCTGCGCACTTACTGAACATCACAAATTTGCTTTAAATAAAACAAAATTTAGGACTGATGACAGTGACTCAAAAGTTAAGATGTCAATAAACTCTGACATTGGAATGGCCATGTTATGAGCCCCTAGCAAAACAAGCAGCCGCACAAGAGAATCTGTTTTACACAAACAAGAACGCACGTGTATGTATGTGTAACAACTGACATTTCAACATTGGAAAGAGCACCTTCTTTTTTCTGCATATGGCAACCTCTCGGTTTTGCCAGGACTTTCCCCCGTTTTTTAAAGAAATCGGAACATTTTGATTTTTAAGCCTACATGTATGAAAATGCGACTGGGACAGTACCAATGAAATCGCAATAGTTGGGGAGGCATGCTACATCAAGCATTGCGTATGGACCCTGCCTGTTCATTATAGCAGCATTGTACTGTATACAAATGTACACTACTCAAAAAAAAGTAAAGGATCAGACATTTGTCTTTGAAAATTTCAGCCAGGCGTGTACCTCATTGACATTACTTATTGTACACTGAAGCTCATGTTCATGCTTGGTTGAGCACCACAGAATAAGAGACAATGCAATTGGTTAGTCGTGTTTCAGAACTAAATTAGCTGGAAGGGTCAAAAGCATTGGGCGATGTATATTGCTCAGGTATTGCACAACTTCAAAATGACCACCTTTCACTCTCTTTGCACATAAATTAAGGATGGGATGACTCTGAGGCAAGGGGGTGAGAGAGTGGGCGTGTCTTAGAGAGTTGGGGGGGGTACAATGACATGAATGAGACTGGCCAGTGCTATACAACCCTATTGCGGTAAAATGATGTACACACGTATGTGTCTCACTGAAATATTGGACCTCTTACCATTTTGTGTTTAGGTTTTGGAAACTATTTAATGTTCTGACAACCACAAATTTGATTTTTTTTGGTATCAATCATCATTTTAACAGATAATTTAAAAAATACGTGATTTGGGGGAAGATTTGCAAACAGATATATGTCAGACATTGTATTATTTTACTGAATAAAAGGGTCTCAACAGTTACGTGTAATTTGTTTATGCTGAGATACAAACATCTTCAAAGTGCTTCATTTCTGTGATTCAGAATCACAAAAAGTGCCTTCACATTACTGAAATACTCATAAACGGTGCCCTCACGTTATCGCGATATCATTCCAACTCATAAACAGTACCCTCACATTACTGCGATATCATTCTAACTCATAAACAACACCCTCACATTACAGTGATATTCTAACTCATAAACAGCGCC